ATTTTTGTATGATTAGAATAAGTGTAAGGAATGTTTAGTTGAAATATTTTTGTTTACAGGCTTAATATTTCTCTCAACGAGTTCCATGCTAGAAAATGATTCGATTGATTAGAATTGCATTGATTTTGGTGTAAATTTTATATATGTATAAGTGGCTAATTCAAGAGTAAAGTTTGCTGGGATGAGGGCTAAGAAGAGGCAATTTTTGTGAAATAATTTATTTGTGAATGATATTTTAGTTATGGGATAAGTAGCAACAAAGTATTATTCATTTTTATTAAAAGTGACATCATTAGACTGATGCATCTTTCTCGTTGGGGAATTGTAGCATTTGTACTCTTTCGAGTTTAAAAAGGCTAATAAAAATCCATTTAATTGCTCTTGTATCAGGTTCTCTACTTTGAGGATTTGTATAGATAAAGGTAGCACTTTTAAGTATCTTGGAAACAAGTTTATTGGGTGTTGAAGTGAGGAGAATTTTGATTAGGACTTATGACAATTTAAAATATTTTTCTTTTAAAAGTTCCTTCATTTCAGTCCAGCAGTCTCTTATATGTTCCCTTCCCAATCTCTTTCTTTGCTTCTCCTTTCCCATCCAGTAAATTTATACTTGACTAGTTAATTTTATTTCTGCAAACTTTAGCATTTGACACTCTACCATTCGAAGAAATTATTATATTTAGAAACCAATTAGGAAAAGCTTTAGGATCAAGTTTAGCATCATAGATAGACGCTTTCACTTTAACTTTTATATTTATGCTGCTGTCTGCATCAATTTTTTTATATTTATGATTTTCATTTACATCATTGCTGTAGGCCTTAAATGCTGATCTTGATTATTTCCTTGTCTCCTAACATAATTAACATAGTGAATTTGTTTATCGTTGTGATTGGAATCCACTTTAGGTTCATGTGCATAAACTTTCTTGACTTCCAAATTATTAGTTCTTTTTTTAACTGAATTAATGTCACTATAGATTTGATTTTGTTTATTTTACAATTTAGTCTATTGATTTTGCTAAGTTATCAAAATTTCATCACTTTCATGACCTTTTAAGCTGCCTAATAATTAGCCTTATTTTTAAATGACATTGTGACACAACCTAAAACTCTGCTACCTCAATTTGATGCAGGACGACTCATGGATATGCTTTTTCAATGCAGCTAATAAGCCTAATATAATGCATAACATCCAATTATGCAAACAAAAATCAAGTATTCATGGATTACTAGTTACTAACAAGCCAGCTCACTTTCTTTTAATGTAAATAAGAATAATAGTCTTTAAGTGTAATTTATAATGAAAAAATCACAAAAATTCACAAATTTCAGCTGAATTTTAGCAATTAATAAAATCAAGTATCAGAATAAATTTGTTTTCACAAAATTAGATTTTTGACGCATTAATTTTTACCAAAATCAAGAGTGCCAATTGATCAATAATAAATTAGATAGAAAAAATAAATAAGAAATGAAATTATTAAATCAGGAAAAACATTAGGTCTCACATCAATACAAGATGGCTTCCTCCAGAATTCATTATTTACATTTTTACGACACTTTAAGGAAGCACGTCCAACTAGTGCTCACTAGATTAAAATTAGGACTTATTTAATTGCTCAAGATTTATGCAATTCTCCTATTGTGTCACTCCACATCAATTAGTATTAGAGCTTAGTTTCATTCTGGGAGTCATCATCATCAATTCAACAAGATGATGATCAGTGTTGCAATGAAGATCAATTTTAAAGAGTTTATGAAGTTCTGAATTTCATGTTCTTATAGTTTTCCATTTCTAAGTCATCCGCCATAATGGAAGCAGTCTATTCTCAAGAACTTTTATGGCTCATATTAAGCTTCCCAAACTCTAAAATGCATGTCAAAACCATTTAAACCGCCTTCTCTGTGGAATTACAGGATCTCCATAAATCCTCATTATGTAATTTTCTTCCTTTTTAACTTGTATCTTTCACATCTGCTCATTCTCATCTTCCTCTCATTTTTTCCCTTGAAATTTAGTCCCCTAGTTAATTTAATTAGAACTACCCACTATCCTCTTCTATCTTCCATACCTACGCAAGGCTTTCTCTTCTTGTAATACTTTTTATTCCCTCTCTTATTCATTACCCTTAGACTTGGTATTCCTTCTCATTCTTTATATTACCTCTCTCTCTTTTGATAACTTCATAACACTCACCATCCACCTAAAAAAACCTCATAAATTCTTATTCAACTAATTTGCTTACTTGATTGCTCTCTCGTGGCCTCCCCTTCAATACACGGCTCATAAATGATGGATAGAAAGCTTGATAATTTTATCATAAATTCAACTGGTACTTATATATAGAGCTGCTTATATAATTCTAGGAAGAGTGATAATTGGAACACTTCTATATTTCAAAAAAATTTCTTCAAGTATTACACCACTTACTTCCTATTCAACCTGCCGTCCTCCAATTGGTTGTCTGAAGAATTTGTGGAATATATGTTTCCTATTTATGCTGTAATTCATTCCTAGTTTGGTCTGCCTTATTCATTTATTTCCATCATGATTATGTGGATTAGTTCTTAGCATTTCTTCTATAATTACTTTCCTGTGGTGTTCGCCAACCATATTTCCTTTAACTGCTTAAATCTGCGAGCTGCATGTTCCTCTTCGGTAATTATGTTGCAACTGTCCGCATTCTTCTCTCCCTCAATATGGTTGTAGAGGTCTTTTAATTTTAGTTTGTTCACTTGAATGCAGGATTATAAAGCCCTTTGGTAAATATATCAGCAAGTTTTTTGTTTGTTAGGAAATAAGTGTAATAGATGGACACTTCACGATAATCTTTAATTTTTTCTTTCGTGAAGTGTCCATCAACTTCTATGTCTTTGGATCAGTCATACTTTAATGAATTGTGGGCAATACTGATGGCATACTTGCTATCACAATATATACTTATAAGGCATTCTCATTTAATCTTTAGATCTTTTAATTTAATTTTTAATTATAAAAATTCATAAATTCTTTAAGCAATTGCTCTAAATTTAAATTTCGCACTTGATCTTAAGAGAATGGGTTATTTTTTACTTTTTCATGTTATAAGGTTTCCTCCAAATAATGTGCAATAGCCTAAAGTTGCATTTATGTATCAATGATCCCAACATCCGTATATAATTCTAGTTTTAGATTTTTATATATTTCTTTTATGGAGAATCCCCTTTTCAACATTAGATTTTAAATGCCTAAGAACCTTGGTTTTAGATCTACTTACTTGAAAACCTTTTCCGTAATTCAAGTTTTTCATTAACTCTCTCTCTAGTGATATCAACAAGAAGAATATAATCAACAAAAGCATACACCGAGGTGCAACCTTTTGCAAATGTCTAGTAAGAAGATCCATGACTAAAGTAAAAATATATGGACTTAAAGCTGATCCTTGATGTAATCCAACTAAAATAGGAAAACATTTGGTCGAAACACCTTGTGCTTGAATTTTAGTAATAACTCATGTATATATTTTTTTAATAAATTGAATATAAATATTATTAATTCTTTTCTTTCTTAAAACTCTCCAGAGCACTTCTCTTGAAACTTTATCCTATGCTTTCTCTAAATCAATAAATATCATATGTAGATCCTCCTTACTCCCTTTTGAAGTACTTCTCCATCAAACCTTCCAACAAATGTATAGCTTCCATAGTAGACCTATCCAGCATGAATTCAAACTGATTTTGAGAAACATTAGTATCACATCATAACCTATGCTCAATTACCCTCTCCCATAATTTTAATGTATGACACATTAACTTAATTCCTCTATAATTTCCACACTTGTGCATCACTTTTATTCATAAGAATAGGAATCAACACACTCTTTCTTGACTTATCTGACATTACTTCTTTTTATTCTCCAAAAATAGAAGAAATAGTGCATTCAACTAAAAGTTTTATTCAAGCACCATGATGTGTTGGTATATGCCTCAGACTTTTGTTTACAATCGTAAAACCCCTTAAAATTCCGACTTCCACTGGATACAAGAGACCAAAAGATTGACATAATTGTTGCTACATAAACAAAATGAATTTTTATATCATAGGAAGAAATCTCTCTAGAGCTTCATCATGCACACAAAAAGTAAGACCATTAGAGCCTAAGTTACAAATACCAGAAAAATTAACCACCAGAGGTGGTACAGGCGTCCATTGAAATTGCTGGAGGGGTATAAGTTCAGGGAACCATAGGAATAGAAGACCGAACTATAAATCTACCAAAATAAGTTGCAGGAATGAGCAAAGGTAGCTGCAGGGAATTCCAGAAAGCTTGTGATGAAAACGGATCCAAGTAGGGATCAAATTTCCGTTACAGGGTAACATCTTTGGTATGTAAATAGTAACTCTTACTGCAGTTTAAAATGCTACTTTAATATAACTATATTCAGACAACTAAAATCAAACTAAAAGTTCATCTTTCACGTTCCTCTTCTTTACACATCTATTTTCTATTTGTTACGACCGGAAACTTTCAGATTTGCATCTTTGGCTTCTATTGCTTAATCCCCTTCTTGTCTGCTTGCTTATATGTTTGGCTGCTTTCGGCTAGCATTTGAGGCCAGTTTTTTGGTTACTTATTTTATTGCAAAGTGTTGTGAATAAAAGTGCTAATGATCTATTAGGCTTTTGACTGATGAATTCATTATTGTATGATTTAACTCATCAGTCAAAAGTATAATAGATCTTTAGCACTTTTTTAGTTTTTTATTGAATGTAGCGAACATTTTAATTATCTTGGAAAGAACTTTCTTTTAGACTGTTCAGGATCTTTTCTAGTAGATAACTTATTGAGCTTTAGATCACTTATGTTGTTATTTTAGCTTGCTTACTGTTTATTGTCTTGAACCAACTGGTTCTTAAAACTAGTATAAAAAATGATGTGGTATAAAATATGATGATTAATTGGTGTGAATAATAATTTTTTTTGTTTATCTTTATCTGAGTTATATTGTTAATCCAACAGAGGGCAATTAACGAGGCTGCTACTGACTGGGGTTTGAAGTGTTTACGTTATGAAATAAGTAAGCCTATCCATTTGAATTTACACGTGCAGCATCTACTGTTCCTGCTGCTAGTTTGATATGTCTTAGCGCATTTGAGCAGGGGATATATCACCACCTCCTGGAGTGAAAGCTGCTATGGAAATGCAAGCTGAGGCAGAGCGAAGAAAACGTGCTCAAGTACTGGAGTCTGAAGGTGAAACTTGTTAAAATATAAGGTTCATCTTTGGATTCACTAAATTTATGTATTCGAATTATTTAATTGTCATATGGAGAAGCTTGCTGTCGAATGCTAACTTGGAGAATGCTACAAAAGGTGTTGGATATGGAATGTTTGAACAACACTTGTTGTCTAGCTGTATTGTATTTTCTTTTTTTTTATGGTTGCTTTATACAACTTGCCTGATCTCCACATATCTTTTCCTGGTTCCATTTTAGCAAAATAAAATATGGTGCCTTATTCTACCCTCTAATGCAAATAGGAGAGAGACAATCAAATATAAACATTGCTGATGGGAGGAAAAGTTCTGTGATCTTGGAATCAGAAGCTGCAATGATGGATCAGGTAAATAGGGCTAAAGGTATGCTTTTTTCGTAATACTTTTTGTTAATTATCTCATATATGCAAGTTGAGATGTATGCAATGCTGCTTAGCTGCAAAATTTTCTAAGGAAATATCTGTAACATTTTGGAATCCTGCCTGTGCAAGCTGAAAGAAAAGAAGGAATAACTATGTAGCACACTCTCATAATGGGATTTCTCCTTTTAGAATTTGTAAAACAAATAAAAAGTCTCCCTCCCACAATTGAACTCATCTCCTCTCATTCTTTCAATTTTTTTGGTCTCTCTCATATGTTAAGGTTTTTTATGAAGGTATTTATATGAAGTATGAAGTATTTTAAAACTAAATCTTGAAGATAAACTCTGAAGAAAAATCAGGAGATTGTATAGTTCGATGTTTTTTTTTTTTTGTATAGTTCAATGTAGACTACTTATATGTACCATATAAATTGAGTTCTAATTTTTCATGTGATCTAATTCAAATCATACAGTATGATTAGTTAAATCTGATCTATATCATTATCACTTAATTTCTTTTGTTTGATTGGATTAAATTAGAAAATAAATCATATGTTATGATGTACATCTACAGTACAAATAGTTTAATTTTTGAATTAATCTTATTATTTTAAATATTACATGATGATTTTAATTTGTGTTCAACTCCGATCATATGATATGATATATATCATAGAGTATGATTTGTTCATTGTCATTAATTTTAAAATTTTTCATTTTGGTATCCGTGCTTTTCAAACTGTTTTGTACGTCTTCCTTGGTAGACTAATGCAAGAGATTTTGAATCAAATGACAACCTTTGCTTGCTAGTTTTTTCTCTAAAAGTTCCATCCCCTAATGAGCCATCCAAAGCTTATAGTGGCCTGGTTAGCTTATTTAGCATGATGTATATCATGTGATTTTGATTGGGATCTATCCTAACTTTGATAGTTGGTATACAGGTTGTCAGGATATACTACTTGAATTTACTTAAAATCCAATAAGAAGAACTCTTGAACTTACTCGTTTCTCAATATGGGATCTTCTGTTACCACAATGACATTTATACGTGTAGTCCTATTTTTAATATAATTACATATCTAACATCTAAAATTATAATATTACATTCTTACCACTCATATAAAATTTTAATATCAAATATATCACTCTTATATTTCATTCTAATCACCCATACCATCCCATAAACTTTAATATTTTATTAAATGTACCCATGTTTGTGCTATGGGTAATAGGCATGTAATAGTATTAGATACAGGGGTGTCAACATTGGACACGACCTGAAAACCCGACTCGAACCCGACACGGAAATTTCGGGTTTGGGTCAACCCGAACCCGAACCGGGTCGGGTTTGGGTTGACCCAGAAACCCGGAATCAACCCGGTTTGACTCGGGTTCGTGTCATTCACGTCCACATCCATCCATCGCGTCGTCTACAGTCTGTCGGGTTCAACATCTCGTCCGCGGTTGGCCGTCCGTGTCAAGACTCAAGCGGCTCAAGCGGTCAAGCCCATAGGGCATTCCGGAACCGCGGAACGTTTCCCGTGCAATGATCTGCCGTCCGCCCGTCCGGTGACCGCTGCCCTCGCATCGTCGCTATGTCGCACGCCCGCAAACAGACTAACGGAGTCACTGCGTTCGCCAGCCATACTCGCAGCCGAAGGTCCGCCAGCAGTCGCGTCCGCCGTCGGTCCGTTCGCCAGCTATTTCGCGCTCTTGTTCAACCAAATCGCGGAAATTCGTGTCGGGTCGTGTTGACCCGAACCAGAAGCGGGTCGGGTTTGGGTCCCAAAAATTGACCCGTTTGCAAAAACGGGTCGGGTTTGGGTTGACCCGAATAGTGCCGGGTTAGTTTCGGGTTTGAACCAAACCCGACCCGTGACCCTAAATTGACACCCCTATTTAGATATATAACTAGCATGAAATAAAATGGTATGTTTGTAAATCCCCCTATAATATTTCTACGAGCCTAAGCGATTCCATATAAATAGAAATATATATTATACATATGCATAGTATATTACCTATGTGTGTTAATGATGTAGGACTACAATGCTAAAAGTAATTTGGTAAGAGCTTGCAAGACTTATTGATTAGAATAATAAAGATTAGGACTACTAACAAATAAAATGACAAAATAAAACGTAAGAGCGGTCACTTCCGTTTAGGCTAAGTTGCACAACAAGAGATTTGAACTATCAAGATAACATAAGAAATCAACAACATGCAAATATAATAGCTTTCAACGAGAATCCCTAATCTAAAAATAAGATTAGGAACAAATGAAGTGCACTCAATCCCTATGTTTACTAAGCTCGACATAATTAGGCGAACCCAATCTTTATGAATTAAATCAAATCACAAGAAAGAGGGTTAGACTAAGGAATTACAAGAGGAGGGAGATTGGAAGACCTTCGTCAAGGTTCAGATGTAATTCTCCACTGTACGGTCCCAAGTTGCTCTTCAATAACCTCGACCAGGGTGTCCAGGATGCGCTCTACGTACTTTTCTTCGGTGTAGTTGATGCGTGGGTTGACATCGAAGAACGTCGAGTGCAAGATGCAAACAAATCCTTACTCGTAGTAGGTGAGGCCGTAATCAAGATCTGGATCGGCCATTCATGAAGGCTAGATGACAGTCGCTTCCAAAGATCACTAGCAACCTTGAAACTTCGTTAAAGAGAAAGAAGTTTCTCTTAAACTTAAAGTGGAGATGATGAAGTATGGTGGTCGGCCAAGGTTGAAGAGAGAAGGATTTAATTTGGTTTAGGTTTGGGATGAGGGAAAGAGTCTCCAAACATTGCTCTAATTAATCCCTTGACTGGGAATAATTAAAGAGGACGGAGAGGTGATGGGGGCAGCGACAAGAGGGAGAGAGAGGATGAGGGTTTGTTTCCAAACTTATTGTAAGGTTTTGGAAAGTATTTAAGAGGTGTGGGGTCTTGTGAATTTCGGCCAAGAGGTGGGGGGAAGTTTGAAGGTGGGGAGGTGGGCTTTAGGAAACAATTCCTAATTTAATCCTATAGAGGGCCGGCAGTATTAATGAGCTAGGGAGGGAATTAAGGAGGCTTTAATGCTTTCTTAAATTAGATAATTAGATTTGGAATGAAATAACTCATTCCAAATTAAATTAAAATCCAATGGTGAGGGATTTAGAAACTTTCCTAAAATAGATTTTATAATTTAGGAAAGATTTTAAATTTCAAATTGGGTGAATTTGAATTCAAAATATGCCCAAATTATAGCAATATACAATAGGCAATAAATCTAAGAGAGGGCAAAGTGCTAGGGGACGGCGGCTTGCTTGGGGTTCGGGTAATGGAGCTGGCGGTGAGGTGGAGGTGGCTTGGAGAGTTCGGTGGTTGGTGAAGAAGGGGTTTGCTGGTGGTGAAAGTTTGGACAGGTGATGGAGGGGAGGTAAGGCCGGTGGTGGTAGGGGGGAGGAGGAAGGAAAGAGATAGAAGGTAGAACCACGAACCCGACTCGTCTAGGTTGGTGGGTGTTGCACAATTCTCCCTCTCCTAGGGATCTCACTCCAATCTCTCAAGTTCTCATGAGAATTCAAAGAAAGAGAAGCAAAGTTTTCAATCAATCATTCATTAACTTGAAAAGAAGAACAATGAGGTTATAAATAGCCTCGTACAAAGACTCATAAAATAAAAGGGGTACAACGGAAAACTAATAAAGCAAATACAATATGACATCATAAATAATAAAATACATAAAATAACTCATAAATACAATGACTCAATCGTGGTCGTAGATCGACGGCCATGTCTCTGTAGACCTTCCACGATCTGATGTCCCCATCATTCTCCCGGGGTGGAAGAAAGCTCGACTCTGTCAAGTAAGCGTCTCTGGTACTCTCGTAGATCTCTAATGCATCAAGGCCAATCTGGTGCAGCTCCTCGCGATCCAACCATGTATCCTCTGACTCGGGCTTGCCTTTCAACCTGATCAAGTACCTCCTTCGTCCTCCTTCCCTTGTGGAGATGATATCATCACTTAGGATCGAGTCCATCTTTTCTGCCATGGGTGATTTGGGTATATTTATTAGTGGAGGTAGGTTTGGGTTCTCACAAGGTGGGGTCACACAAGGCTGTTGTATGAGTGGATTTGGTGGGTTGAAATCAGGACCTTTAGATGCAATTAGATCTTTTATGTTAAAGGAGGGATTGATGTTGAATTATACATGCAGATCTACTACATAAGCATTATCATTGATTTTCTTAAGTATTTTGAATGGTCCAGAACTCTTAGCATGCAGCTTCTTAATTGTTCCCTGCGGGAACCGTTCCGGACGAATCTGCACCATCACGGAGTCACCAACCTCAAAAGTTTTAAATCTTCATTTCAAATCCGCATATAGTTTGTAATTATTATTGCTCTTTTCAATTTGTCGTGCAATTTCTTTATGAAGTTTATGCAAATGTGATGCAAATGATGATGCAGACTCAGAAATCCTATACATAGAATACATGGGTATAAAGTCTAGTGGTTGTCTAGGTTTGAACCCGTATACAATTTCACAAGGACTTAGGTCAGTGGTTTGGTTTATAAAATTATTATAAGCAAACTCAGCAGTACGCAAAATGGAATATCAGTCCTTAATGTGCACGTCAACCAAAGATCGCAACGGATTACCCAAACTCCTATTAACTGCCTCGGTCTGACCATCAGTCTGTGGGTGAAAGACAATAGAAAATTGCAATTTAGTGCCCATTTTCATCCAAAGGGTTTTCCAAAAATATCTAGTGAATTCCACATCCCGATATGATATGATGGTTTTGGGTAAACCATGTAAACGGATGACCTCATTGAAATAAAGCTTGGCAATGTGAGAGTCGTCAGATGTTTTTGAGCAAGGTAGAAAATGCGCCATTTTGGAGAACCGATCAACTACAACATAAATGGTGTTGTTCCTATGAATTGTCTTGGGCAGGCCTAAGATAAAGTCCATGCTAACGTCCTGCCAAGGGCAACTAGGGACAAGCAGAGGTGTGTAC